AGGGTATGGTGGACCCACGAACCCCACGTGACAGACGCCCACCCAGACCCTCCCCTAGACTGTATGCTGGTGCGCCCGGAGTTCGCACCTTTAGGGGGGGGTACTGTGACACTCTGGCTCCGGGACTTTTGTATTTGAGCCAGGGTGTATTTTGTTATGTTTGGTTGGGTGTTTCTAAGTGTTGTATTTCTAGGTTTGGTCAATGACTCCCAATCGGAGGTAACGAGTGTCAGCTGTCGGCTCGTTATCTCTGATTGGGAGCCATATTTATTTCTGTATGTTTTCCTGTGGGGTTTGTGGGTTTTTGTTCCGTTTCAGTCATAGTCACTGTTGGACTTCACTATCGTCTTTTGTTTTGTATTTACGTGCTTTATCATTAAAGTCATGTTCACTCAACGCGCTGCGTATTGGTCTGCTCCTGTTTTAGACGATCGTGACATAGTGTATTATTTGGGCAACAAACATGAATGTAAGCAGCATACATTGAAATCATACATTAAAAGCACTAACACTGGTATACACTGGTGATCAACTAGTCAAAACGGCCATATGCCAATATCTTTTCACCTCGGCGAACTTCAAGTGAAACGATTTGAAAATGTAGCTCAATCCAGGGATGGAAGGTGTTGCTGTACTCCTACTTATCCCACAACAATTTAGGGTAAATGGAGAAGATAAAATACTTCTGCTTTAGCATTAGCTAACTAGCATGAGGATGAACAAGGCAATTTAATTAAAAACTAGTAGTATTTAAATATTCTCCATTCGCAGTAAATTCCTGTGGGATAAATAGGACTACAGCGAAACATTTCATCCCTGGATTGAGCTACATTTGCGAACCTTTTAACTTGAAGTTCACAGAGATGTGGTCCTCTGTAGCTCAACTGGTAGAGCACGGCGCTTGTAACGCCAAGGTAGTGGGTTCGATCCCCGGGACCACCCATACACAAAAATGTATGCACGCATGACTGTAAGTCGCTTTGGATAAAAGCGTAATGGCATATTTATTTAGATGCAAATATATTGGCCTTTGGTCGTTTCAACTAGGAGGAGAGCATACCTTCTAGTCAAAATGTTTTGGCTAGTGATCAACCTGCTGTAGAAATGGGAATGAAACAGTTGTAATGGAATTAAGTCATAAAATTGTGTGTTGTTGTGTTGGGGGCTCTCCCCTTTTAAGGACTTACCCCGATGACGAAGCGGATTATGTTTTTCTCATCACTTCTTTTGATAGAGTTAACATTTCTATCAGTATCACTGGGTTTTCCATCTGTTATTACGACCAGTACTTTAGTTGCATCTGCGGTGGCGCCGGCAGCTTGGTTTTCAAAAATGTTTTTCCTGAAATAGATGTATACAAACAACAGATCAAGCAATCTTTCTTACACCACAATCCCCTTTGATCAGATTCCGAGTATTCGGTCAGAACTTTGAAAGTAAAACTGATTAATAATGATCAACTGTGACCTACAAGACAAAGTCTATCGCCTGATGTGTATTGGTTAGAAGAGCCATGTGCTTTTCATTCGTAAGATTAGTCAAGGCTCTCCCCTCTTGGTAGTCATTGAAGTCGAAAACTGTCCTGGCTGTTGATGAGAACTGAACCGCCGCGAACTGTGGTTTAAAAAAAGAGGAAAGATAACTAATATTGATTTCATTCCATACTTTCCATGCAGAAACCTAGGTATAGCACATCTTATAATTAGTGGTGACTTGAGGAACCATGAAGATCCTCAAGGAACCATTGCAAGTCAATGGGTCATATTTGCACCTTCGGTAAATTGAGGGGTTCTTGAAGGAACCTTTAATGGTTCAATGTAGCATCGGGATCCTGGAGGAACCCTGGAGTGGAGGCGTGGCTTAGGAAGTGTGTGGCTTTAAGATACTGTATATATTTTTTAGGCCACCTGTTAGAATAAATGTCATTCCTGTTAATCTGTTCTGCTGTATTGTCATCACATCTGAACGTTAAACACTGATAGTTTTATAGCGTCAGTGAGGCTTACAGAAGTGTTCCTCAAGAGCCTATGCTCTTCCAAAGTGGAAATAGTTGTCACTTTATTACTATATGTAAATAGAATTGTTAATATTATTAACATTATATTGAAGTATATAATATGTATAAATATTCAAGGATTTAGTTTTGCAGTGTAAAACATAACATGATGAACAGGAATGAGATTTGCGCTAATGGGTGGCCAAAAATTGCCTATCTGAAAGCCACGCCTCCAATAATAGGCTGCCACCACTTCAATATATTATCAAAAAGGTTCAAAATGTAACTCCTCCCATCAGAACCTTTACACAAGGGTTCCTCCAAGACCCTTGAACTGGAAAGGTTCCGCAGGTGTGGCAACCCAAAAGGTTATTCTAGGCACCTTTACTTCTAAGAGTGTAGATAAACAGATGTATGTTCAGCAACCTCACAAGCATGATTCAAGTTATGAACTTTAAAAGGGAAGTTTACCTTGATTGAGGAGTTTTTTAGGGTTGTCATGATATTGTTTATGAAACCTTTGTTCTTTTCAAATGCGTCCCCTGTCATGCTTGCTGATCCGTCAATGAGGAAAACGAGGTCCACTATTTTCTTAGTACATTCTGGAAGAGAAAGTGAATTAAAGAAATGTATATGATGGATAACACACAATATTCTTCACATATTCAGGAATCCAGATCTTATCATTCACAATTCATATTTTGTGACCTAATCCTAATGTAATTCAGCATTATATGAATAAACAGTCAATATATACCTACAAATCTTGGGTTATTTTATTTATATCTACAAATGTGTTCCAGTTTCGCTGTTATACCTTGGAAGGCAGGCGTGAAGTTAGAGGTGATCTGGAGCTGGCTGTTGAACTGATAGCAGATACTGTTCAGATCGCACTCGTGTGCCAGGCCAGGGCTGCAGGCCTGAATGAGGATAATAAGTAATTGTAAATTAGATAAAATAATGGCTTGTCTGGTGGACCTCAGATGGCTTCAAAAGAGAGAGTTACATGAATTTGCCATGATAATTTTTTAGATTGTTGAGCTATTGTTTTATGACTCAAGTGAAACAAGTAATTTAGGTTTACACAGGCAGCCCAATTCTGATATTTTTTCCACTAATTGGTGGAGCTGATCTGATTGGTCAAAATACCAATTAGTGAAAACAATATCAGAATTGGGCTGCCTATGTACTGTAAATGCTGCCAAACACATGTATTACATATGCACAGTACACTCACATTCACAACAAGAATATGATCAAATTAACTGTTTGGTGGTTATCTTACAGTGAACGTTGGAGGAGAAGTAGATTGTCCAGCCATAGACAGTCCAATGTACTTGATTGTGTCAGTTTCTGTTGGAAGGGAAAATGCAGACTTGCAGAATCAACTAGTGTTTCTCATTTTCAAGATCTTGTTGACATTTCAACAATATTTTAAAGCTGTCAAATATTGATTAGCCATGGTTACCGTGATAGGTGTTACATGTTCTTATAATTCTTATAATTATTCATTTTGTTAAGGTAACCACCATTCTAAATTGCAGTAAGTACAGTATATATACAGTATATCCGGAGTTGTACCTTGAATGTTGAAGATCTTTTTTTGAAAGTTGTCTAGGATTCCTTTTAGTCCGTTGTAGTCCTGGATGAGGAAAGTGTTGTTCTCTTTTGGCTCTGATGCCAGGAACTTGAGTTTCTTCAAATCGACATTCTTGACCTGCCAAGAAATATATCACTTGAGGGCAGGAATTATAAGTCTAATTTCCTTTTCAATATGAATGATATTTAAACATCCACATCGTAACTGGGAAGTTGGACTGGACCCTTGAGTCTAGTAATAACAATAATAATAAAAACTCTATTTGTATAGCGCTTTTCAATACAAGTAACAAAGTGCTTCACATCATAAAATAAAAGTACTAACAAAGTAACAAAGACAGGAGGAAGGAGAATACAAAATAAATAAATATCTCCTTTCGTTTTCAACCTAGACTATGGAATGGTCAACAGTGCCCTGTCAGAGGATCTCAGGCTGCATCCTGGCTCATAGGTAGATAAAATATCTAAGAAACGGAATGGGGCTTAACCAAACCTTAAAGATGGAATCCTTAGTTCTCCTTCCGCTAAAGGCAAACGCAAAGCCTAAAATCAAGACTAGACATTGACAGCTCTCTTATGCCTGCACAAATGATGTGACGGAACACACCTGACTAACCAGAAACATCTGTCAATCCAATTGTCCCAATACTTTTGGTGCCCTGAAATATGGGAACTACTGTATGTATAAAAAGGGTTGTCATTTCTAAATGGTACAACCAATATTTCCACAAATACCCTCAATTAAAAGCTGATAATCTATATTTTAACCTCATAGTAATTGTTTCATTTCAAATCCAAACTTTTGGAGTATAGAGCCCCCAAAAAATGTTCATGCTTCACTATCCCAATAATTACAGAGGGCGCTGTATTTCTTAGATGATATTGTATAAGCAGGACTGGACAACCTTCTTTACATGCAGCTCGAGGTTTAGGTTAGGGTCAAAGAAGACACCAAGGTTTCTGGCCATAGCCTTTACATTGGTAGACAAATTACCAAGGTTATTTACAATCTGGGATCTATCAAGGTGGGGGCCAAATACAATAACCTCAGATTTCTTATCATTGAGCTGGATACATTATCAAACATCTAACATTTGATGTCAACAAGACACTTGTGAATGGTAGCTACGCTAGCTTGGTCACTGGGTCTGATTGGTAAATAAAGCTGTGTGTCATCTGCATAGCGGTGAAACTGAATGTTATGATTGCGGATGATGTCACCAAGGGGAAGCATGTACAGGGGGGGAAAATGGGGCCCAGAATTGACCCCTGAGGGACACCATAGTGAATAGGTGCTGGGGTTGATACTGAACCACCCATGCTCACTGAGAAACGTCTGCCACATAGATACGACCTGAACAAGTCCAGGGCAACGTCAGAGATTCCCACCCACCTCTCCAGCCGTTCAACAAGGATGTTATGATCAATAGTATCAAGCGCAGTACGGAGATCCAAAATAACTAAAATAGAGCATTCACTGGTATCAGCAGCCAACAGAAAGAAGGTCATTATAGGGCTGTTGCGGTGACCGTATTACCACCACACAGGCACTCACGAGTCATGACCGCAGTCAAATTCTACGGTAATCTCCTCTTATGCACTCTGGACATGTGTTGGTAGTATCCAACTCGCTAATGATCATCAGGTGGCTACATTCATGGCCTGTTATTCAGAGCTCTATTGTCCCTCTAACCATTCTGATATCAATGCAAATGCAATCAAAAATCACATTACATTTTAATAATTTAGCAGAAGCTCTTATCCAGAGCAACTTACAGTTAGTGAGTGCATACATTTTTTTTCATACTGGTTCTCCGTGGGAATCGAACCCACAGCCCTAGCGTTGCAAGCGCCATGCTCTACCAACTGAACTACAGGGGACTCAAACACTTATCATCAAAACAGTCCGTGCTTTTAAAACTCACCTCATTGTAATTGATCAATTTGAAGAAAGAAGTTCAACAACAGGTTGAAACTGAGTGGAAAACAAAGCCTAACACAATGAAATGGACAGCGCTTTCTAAGGTGATGATTCATTCAAAACACCCATATGCACATTAGAGCTTATGCATACGCATTTGAAAAATTACCAGCGGGAAAGTGGCCTCCATTCGCTATTCGAGTGCATACGGATGACATGTCTTTTTTGTCTTGTCCTTGTTCCTGCCCATTTGACAATGGCCCATTCTAAATCAAAACTAATTTTACATATTAGTAAAGAAAATATTCCATTGAGAATAGTCTGATGGGTGAAAATATGATCACTTGATGAGAGAACAGCTTGTGCAGCCTGAGACACAGAACAAAGCCTAAGCTTTTTTTGCAACTTTCTCAAATCATCAATAGCCTATAGTCGCATCATGTAGCCCATATATCTATTGATTTCTAAGGCATTCTAAAGTTTGTATCATTCACAACTAAAGTTGCCAAATAACTCTAAATCTAGCTCATAGGACATGTTTCAAATGATCACTTTTAAGCTCAACATAGCCACTTCATATGCGCACTCTCGCTCTGGAATGTCACGGTTTCGGCCGAGGCTGCCTCTCTCCCTTGTTCGGGCAGGCTTCGGCGTTCGTCGTCTCCGGAATTCTAGCTGCCACCGTTGTATGTTTCATGTTCGTTTGCTTTTGTCTGTTTGTTTTCACACCTGTTTCTCATTTGGCGTAATTAGTGTCCTATAAGTTTCTCGTTGTGTTTGTCTAGTGTTGTGTGTTATTGGATTTTGTCAGTCATGTGTAGGGTTTCTACATGTTCGCTCGGTTGAGCTTCCCTCCACTGTTTTGGAGAGTTTACGCACTTGTCTGGTGCGCTCTTGGTTTCGTTTTGCCTTTGTGCGTATTTGTTGCGCCTTTGGATATTGTATTAGTATTTTCCGTGTTGGATTTATACTAAAGTCTTGTGGACTATACTCCGGTGTCCTGCGTCTGATTCCACCACATCACCCACCTACACTTGCGTGACAGAATAACACACCCTACATGGAATCAGCAGGAGCCGAAGCAGCCCCGACGAGGCTGGAGGCCCAGGTTCGGGAACAACAGGACCAGATACTGCAGATGGGGACCGCCCTGCAGGAGGTGATCACCACCCTCCGAGGCTGGGGAACGCCTCCACCACCTCCCTCCCTGCCAGCACCATCGGCCAGTCCGCCCATTCCAGCGCCAGAACCCCGAGGAATCCGACTCTCTCTCCCGAGGGCCTACGACGGAACCGCGGCTGGGTGTCAGGGATTCCTCCTCCAGGTGGAGCTGTACCTGGCCACCGTACACCCGGCACCCTCGGGGCATGAGAGCGTGTCCGCCCTGATCTCCTGCCTGTCCGGGAGGGCGTTGGAATGGGCCAACGCGGAGTGGAGGAAGATCGACGCCGAGACTATCACATACAACGAGTTCTCCCGCCGCTTCAGGGCGGTGTTTGACCATCCCCCGGAGGGGAAAGCGGCGGGGGAGCGTCTGGTCTTCCTCCGGCAGGGGAGGAGGAGTGCCCAAGAATTCGCTCTTGAATTCCGTACTCTAGCGGCAGATGCAGGGTGGAATGAGCGGGCCCTCGTCGATCTATACAGATGTAGCCTACGAGAGGACGTCCGTCGGGAGCTGGCTTGTAGGGACACCAGCCTCTCTTTCGACCAGCTGGTCGACATGTCCATCAGGCTGGATAACCTACTGGCTACCCGCGGACGTCCTGAGGAGGGTCCGTCCATTTCACCCTCCAGCGCCTCCGAGCCGTGTCCTATGGAGCTCGGGGGCGCTGGCGCTAGAGAGAGGAGGAGTCGGTTGGCTAGGGGGTCCATCCACTGCACCAACTGTGGTCGGGGAGGACACACCGCGGCTAGGTGCTGGGGATGGCCTCCTAGGGGGGATGACAACAGGTCCCGCACTGGGGATTCCCTCCAGGTGAGTAGGCGCCCCACTCACCCAGAGCTCACTGTTGCCCATTTTTGTATGCCTGTGCGTTTTCCACAGGTAGCACCTCATTCCCAGCATAAGGCGCTGGTAGATTCAGGCGCGGCTGGGAATTTTATTGATAAAAAGTTTTGTTTAGCGTTAGGGATTCCCCTTATTCCTGTTGATGTTCCTTTCCCCGTTCATGCCCTAGATAGCCGTCCGTTGGGTACGGGCTTAATCAGGGAGGTCACGGCGCCACTTAGGATGTGTGCGCAGGGGGATCATCAGGAGATGATTCAGCTGTTCCTGATTGACTCTCCTGCGTATCCGGTGGTGCTGGGCATGCCCTGGTTAAGTACCCATAACCCATCTATTTCGTGGCAGGAGAGGGCTCTGATGGAGTGGTCTGCTCAGTGTGTGGGTAGATGTTTGGGCGTTTCCGTAGGGGCTACCTCGGTGGAGAGTCCAAACCAGGTGCCCGCATTGCACGTTCCCCCTGAGTATGGGGATTTGGCTATTGCGTTTAGTAAGGCGAGGGCGACGCGGTTGCCCCCCCATAGGCAGGGAGATTGTGCGATAGACCTCCAGGCAGGAGCTGCGCTCCCACGGAGCCATGTGTATCCTCTGTCTCAGGAGGAGAAGAAAGCTATGGAGACTTACATAGACGAATCTCTGAGACAAGGATACATACGGCCTTCCACTTCCCCTGCGTCCTCAAGTTTCTTTTTTGTGAAGAAAAAGGATGGTGGTTTGCGCCCGTGCATCGATTACCGTGGTCTCAATCAGATTACGGTGAAGTACAGTTATCCACTCCCGCTGGTTGCGACCATGACTGAGTCGTTGCATGGGGCGCGTTTCTTCACTATATTAGATCTCAGGAGCGCGTACAACTTGGTGCGCATCAGGGAGGGCGATGAATGGAAGACAGCCTTTAGTACCACCTCGGGCCATTACGAGTATCTGGTCATGCCATACGGGTTGATGAACGCTCCGTCAGTTTTCCAATCATTCGTGGATGAGATCTTCAGGGACATGCAGGGGCAGGGGGTGGTTGTGTACATTGATGACATTCTCGTGTACTCGCCTACCCGTGTCGAGCATGTGGCCCTGGTGCGTAGAGTGTTGCGGAGGCTGGTGGAGCACGACCTGTATGTGAAGGCAGAGAAGTGTCTGTTTTTCCAGGAGTCAGTCTCCTTTTTGGGGTATCAGTTGTCTGCGTCAGGGGTGAAGATGGAGGTAGACCGGGTGTCGGCCGTGCGTAATTGGCAAACACCAACCACTGTGAAGGAGGTGCAGCAGTTTTTGGGGTTTGCGAATTACTACCGGAGGTTTATCCGGGGTTTTGGACAGGTGGCAGCTCCCATCACGTCTCTTTTGAAGTGGGGTCCGGTGCGTCTGCAGTGGTCGGCCGAGGCGGACAGGGCGTTTGGGAGGCTGAAGGACCTGTTTACCTCGGCCCCGGTGCTGGCGCATCCGGATCCCTCTTTGCCGTTCCAGGTAGAGGTGGACGCGTCAGAGGCCGGTTTAGGAGCCGTGCTTTCACAACGGTCTGGCGCGCCACCTAAACTCCGCCCCTGTGCTTTTTATTCTAAGAAGCTCAGTCCGGCGGAGCGGAACTATGACGTAGGGGACAGGGAGCTGTTAGCCGTGGTACAGGCTCTAAAGGTGTGGAGGCACTGGCTTGAGGGGGCTCAACACCCTTTCCTCATTTTGACGGACCACCGTAACCTGGAGTACATCCGGGCGGCGAGGAGGCTGAACCCTCGCCAGGCAAGATGGAGTATGTTCTTGACCAGGTTTACTTTTAAGATCACGTACATCCCTGGGTCACAGAATGGTAAGGCAGATGCGCTGTCTCGGCGGTATGACACGGAGGAGAGGTCCGTGGAGCCCACTCCCATACTGCCGGAGTCGTGTCTGGTGGCACCGGTAGTGTGGGAGGTCGATGCTGAACTCGAGCGGGCGTTACGCACCGACCCTAGTCCACCACAGTGCCCGGAGGGTCGGAAGTACGTTCCGCTCGAGGTTCGGGATCGATTGATCTATTGGGCTCACACGTCACCCTCCTCTGGACATCCGGGTATCGGCCGGACAGTGCACTGTCTTAGTGCCAAGTACTGGTGGCCCACGTTGGCAAGGGATGTGAGGGTTTATGTTTCCTCCTGCTCGGTGTGCGCCCAGTGTAAGGCGCCTAGACATCTGCCTAGGGGTAAGTTGCTACCCCTGCCCGTTCCACAACGACCATGGTCCCACCTCTCTGTGGATTTTATAACAGACCTTCCCCTCTCCCAAGGGAATACTACCATCCTGGTCGTTGTGGACCGGTTCTCTAAGGCCTGTCGTTTGCTCCCCATGCCGGGTCTTCCTACTGCCCTACAAACTGCCGAAGCACTATTCACCCATGTGTTCCGGCACTACGGGGTACCCGAGGACATTGTGGCTGATCGAGGTCCCCAAATTCACCTCCAGAGTCTGGAGAGCGTTTATGGAGCGGTTGGGGGTCTCGGTGAGCCTCACCTCGGGTTACCACCCGGAGAGTAATGGGCAGGTGGAACGCGTAAACCAGGATGTGGGTAGGTTTCTCAGAACATACTGCCAGGACCGGCCGGAGGAGTGGTCAAGGTACGTTCCCTGGGCCGAGATGGCCCAGAATTCCCTACGCCATTCCTCCACTAACCTAACTCCATTTCAATGTGTGTTAGGTTACCAGCCGGTTCTGGCACCCTGGCAGCAGAGCCAGATCGAGGCTCCTGCGGTGGATGAGTGGGCGCGGCGCTCGGAGGAGACTTGGAACGCTGCACACGTCCACCTGCAGCGGGCCCTCCGACGTCAGAAGGCGAGCGCTGATCTCCACCGCAGTGAGGGACCGGTGTACGCACCTGGTGATCGAGTCTGGCTCTCTACCAGAAACCTGCCCCTCCGCCTGCCCTGTCGGAAAACTGGGTCGGCGGTTTGTAGGGCCATTTAAAGTCCTGAGAAGGTTGAACGAGGTATGTTATAGATTACAGCTACCTGTGGAGTATAAGTGTATTAACCCCTCGTTCCATGTGTCCCTTCTCAGGCCGGTGGTAGCGGGCCCACTCCAAGAAAATGAGATAGGGGAGACTCCTCCGCCCCCACTGGACATCGAGGGGGCACCGGCGTACTCCGTGAGGTCCATCTTGGATTCGAGACGTCGGATGGGGGGTCTCCAGTATCTAGTGGAGTGGGAGGGGTACGGTCCGGAGGAGCGGTGCTGGGTGCCGAGGAGAGACATTTTGGACCCGTCGCTCCTGACGGAATTCCATCGGGGGCATCCGACGCGCCCTGCTCCACGTCCTCCGGGTCGTCCCCGAGGCCGGAGTCGGCGCACGTCTGGAGCCGCGCGTCAAGGGGGGGGTACTGTCACGGTTTTCGGCCGAGGCTGCCTCTCTCCCTTGTTCGGGCAGGCTTCGGCGTTCGTCGTCTCCGGAATTCTAGCTGCCACCGTTGTATGTTTCATGTTCGTTTGCTTTTGTCTGTTTGTTTTCACACCTGTTTCTCATTTGGCGTAATTAGTGTCCTATACGTTTCTCGTTGTGTTTGTCTAGTGTTGTGTGTTATTGGACTTTGTCAGTCATGTGTAGGGTTTCTACATGTTCGCTCGGTTGAGCTTCCCTCCACTGTTTTGGAGAGTTTACGCACTTGTCTGGTGCGCTCTTGGTTTCGTTTTGCCTTTGTGCGTATTTGTTGCGCCTTTGGATATTGTATTAGTATTTTCCGTGTTGGATTTATACTAAAGTCTTGTGGACTATACTCCGGTGTCCTGCGTCTGATTCCACCACATCACCCACCTACACTTGCGTGACATGGAATGGGAAAAATATTGTTAATATTGCTAAGTTCAATTATATTCTTCTTACTATAAAATGGCAAGGGACTTAAAAGCATATATTGTCTGCTAAATGGACAAGCCTACAGCCTATAACATACAGTAGGCCAACTCATATTCTGTTATTCTGAAATACATTTTCTTCATATCATGTTTCTTTAGACCTGACTAAAATAAATAATGGATTTATATTTAATTGAGTTATTAGCCTTTTTAAATGTACATTTTCCAAAGGCGCGCATTAGCGGCTTGTATGCGTGGAGGCCTGGTGATGCTAAACATGTTTATGTTAATTGACGGTAAATTACCATGAGACCGGCAGTCTTTTACATTTACGTCATTTAGCAGACGCTCTTATCCAGAGCGACTTACAGTTAGTGCATACATTATACTTTTTTTTTTTCATACTGGCCCGCCGTGGGAATCGAACCCACAACCCTGGCGTTGCAAACGCCATGCTCTACCAACTGAGCTACCTCCCTGCCGGCCATTCCCTACCCTACCCTGGACGACGCTGGGCCAATTGTGCGCCGCCCCATTGGTCTCCCGGTCGCGGCCGGCTACGACAGAGCCTGGATACGAACCAGGATCTCTAGTGGCACAGCTAGCACTGCGATGCAGTGCCTTAGACCACTGCGCCACTCGGGAGGACAATAACTGTCAGACAAAATGTAATGACCGCAACAGCCCTTTTATTGACTTTCAATAAACCAAGTTTTCGTGCTGTTAAGTGAGCGGAAGCCCGACTGGCACCAAAAATATGCTCAATTGTCTTAAACAGAACTTTCGAGTTGTGGGAGTTCTCAGAGATCAGGGTAGAGAAGTAGTTTGCTCTTGCATCTTTAACCACAATATTGTAATTTCTCATCAGATCCTTCATTATCTCATAGAATGCTTGAAATTAGCAGGCTTTCCTTTTACGCTCAGCATTTTTAAAAACACTTTTTAAGGCACGAGTGTGATCATTTAACCAAGGTGAGACTCTGGCAGACAGTTTATTCTTGGTTTTAACTGCTGCCACTGAGTCTAAAGTAGCCTGACATACAGTATATCATTGAAACTGTTAAGCAAATCATCAGTGTGATGACAAAGAATCTTTAGTAGAGGATACAAAAGCATTTGTAAATTGATGAGAATGAGAATGACAGATCTATAACACACATTTCTATGTGTAATTGGTCGGGTCACCCAAAAAGGTATATATATATTGGAGCTTTAAAAAAAACAGCTAGTGTATTATTTGGGCAACAAACATGAATGTAAGCAGCATACATTGAAATCATACATTAAAAGCACTAACACTGGTATACACTGGTGATCAACTAGTCAAAACGGCCATATGCCAATATCTTTTCACCTCGGCGAACTTCAAGTGAAACGATTTGAAAATGTACCTCAATCCAGGGATGGAAGGTGTTGCTGTACTCCTACTTATCCCACAACAATTTAGGGTAAATGGAGAAGATAAAATACTTCTGCTTTAGCATTAGCTAACTAGCATGAGGATGAACAAGGCAGTTTAATTAAAAACGAGTAGTATTTAAATATTCTCCATTCGCCGTAAATTCCTGTGGGATAAGTAGGACTACAGCGAAACATTTCATCCCTGGATTGAGGCACATTTGCAAACCTTTTAACTTGAAGTTCACAGAGATGCAAATATATTGGCCTTTGGTCGTTTCAACTAGGAGGAGAGCATACCTTCTAGTCAAAATGTTTTGGCTAGTGATCAACCAGCTGTAGAAATGGGAATGGAACAGTTGTAATGGAATTAAGTCATAAAATTGTGTGTTGTTGTGTTGGGGGTATGCAGGCTCTCCCCTTTTAAGGACTTACCCCGATGACGAAACGGATTATGTTTTTCTCATCACTTCTTTTGATAGAGTTATAATTTCTATCAGAATCACTGGATGTTCCATCTGTTATTAGGACCAGTACTTTAGTTGCATCTGCGGTGGCACCAGCAGCTTGGTTTTCGAAAATGTTTTTCCTGAAATAGATGTATACAAACAACAGATCAAGCAATCTTTCTTACACCACAATCCCCTTTGATCAGATTCCGAGTATTCGGTCAGAACTTTGAAAGTAAAACTGATTAATAATGATCAACTGTGACCTACAAGACAGAGTCTATCGCCTGATATGTATTGGTTAGATGAGCCATGTGCTTTTCATTCGTAAGATTAGTCAAGGCTCTCCCCTCTTGGTAGTCATTGAAGTCGAAAACTGTCCTGGCTGTTGATGAGAACTGAACCGCCGCGAACTGTGGTTTAAAAAAAGAGGAAAAGATAACTAATATTGATTTCATTCCATACTTTCCATGCAGCAACCTAGGTATAGCACATCTTATAATTAGTGGTGACTTGAAGAACCATGAAGATCCTCAAGGAACCATTGCAAGTCAATGGGTCATATTTGCACCTTCGGTAAATTGAGGGGTTCTTGAAGGAACCTTTAATGGTTCAATGTAGCATCGGGATCCTGGAGGAACCCTGGAGTGGAGGCGTGGCTTAGGAAGTGCGTGGCTTTAAGATACTGTATATATTTTTTAGGCCACCTGTTAGAGTAAATGTCATTCCTGTTAATCTGTTCTGCTGTATTGTCATCACATGTGAAAGTTAAACACTGATAGTTTTATAGCGTCAGTGAGGCTTACAGAAGTGTTCCTCAAGAGCCTATGCTCTTCCAAAGTGGGAATAGTTGTCACTTTATTACTATATGTAAATAGAATTGTTAATATTATTAACATTATATTGAAGTATATAATATGTATAAATATTCAAGGATTTAGTTTTGCAGTGTAAAACATAACATGATGAACAGGAATGAGATTTGCGCTAATGGGTGGCCAAAAATTGCCTATCTGAAAGCCACGCCTCCAATAATAGGCTGCCACCACTTCAATATATTATCAAAAAGGTTCAAAATGTAACTCCTCCCATCAGAACCTTTACACAGGGGTTCCTCCAAGACCCTTGAACTGGAAAGGTTCCGCCGGTGTGGCAACCCAAAAGGTTCTTCTAGGCACCTTTACTTCTAAGAGTGTAGATAAACAGATGTATGTTCAGCAACCTCACAAGCATGATTCAAGTTATGAACTTTAAAAGGGAAGTTTACCTTGATTGAGGAGTTTTTTAGGGTTGTCATGATATTGTTTATGAAACCTTTGCTCTCATCAAATTCGTCCCCTGTCATGCTTCCTGATCCGTCAATGAGGAAAACGAGGTCCACTATTTTCTTAGTACATTCTGGAAGAGAAAGTGAATTAAAGAAATGTATATGATGGATAACACACAATATTCTTCACATATTCAGGAATCCAGATCTTATCATTCACAATTCATATTTTGTGACCTAATCCTAATGTAATTTAGCATTACATGAATAAACAGTCAATATATACCTACAAATCTTGGGTTATTTTATTTATATCTACAAATGTGTTCCAGTTTCACTGTTATACCTTGGCAGATACTGTTCAGATAGGAGTTCCCATCGCACTCGTGTGCCAGGCCAGGGCTGCAGGCCTGAATGAGGATAATAAGTAATTGTAAATTAGATAAAATAATGGCTTGTCTGGTGGACCTCAGATGGCTTCAAAAGAGAGAGTTACATGAATTTGCCATGATCATTTTTAGATTGTTGAGCTATTGTTTTATGACTCAAGTGAAACAAGTAATTTAGGTTTACACAGGCAGCCCAATTCTGATATTTTTTCCATTAATTGGTGGAGCTGATCTGATTGGTCAAAATACCAATTAGTTAAAAACAATATCAGAATTGGGCTGCCTATGTACTGTAAATGCTGCCAAACACATGTATTACATATGCACAGTACACTCACATTCACAACAAGAATATGATCAAATTAACTGTTTGGTGGTTATCTTACAGTGAACGTTGGAGGAGAAGTAGATTGTCCAGCCATAGACAGTCCAATGTACTTGATTGTGTCAGTTTCTGTTGGAAGGGAAAAGGCAGACTTGCAGAATCAACTAGTGTTTCTCATTTTCAAGATCTTGTTGACATTTCAACAATATTTTAAAGCTGTCAAATATTGATTAGCCATGGTTACCGTGATAGGTGTTACATGTTCTTATAATTCTTATAATTATTCATTTTGTTAAGGTAACCACCATTCTAAATTGCAGTAAGTACAGTATAGTGTATCATCAACTTCCATCTCTACCTTCAGAAGTGTAACAATTTGTACAGTTTGTTCGGTCTTGAGCACATCTACAGATTCCACCAGATCCATTCTTCTGATGTGGCGCACAGACCATTACCCTGTGGGTGAGAAATACCAGTATAGTTTGGTCGATTTAGATGAGACTGTATGACTTCTTATATATATGACAAACTTTAGATCAAGAGTGGTTGCATAACATTTGTGACAATGTGGTAAATTACTTTTGTATATCCATTTTCTATTGGTTACTAAGGTTACAATAACAACTGCATGGTGAAGGAGGAAGGCAGGATGTTATCAGAGGTGTGATATGATGAAACACAAGTTAGAATTTCCCTTCCATCAATGTATACATAACTAATACACTGATGCACATTAGTCATGTGCATTGGATGCAGCTCACATAATTTAAGAAACGTAATAAATGTTCAAGTATTGTAAATAAGAATAGAATATGTTTCTACACACTTCTACATTAATGTGGATGCTTCCATGATTACGATAGTCTTGAATGAATCATGAATAATGATGAGTGAGAAAGTTAGACGTACAAATATCATACCCCAAAGACATTCTAACCTCTCACCATTATAATAACAGGGGAGGTTAGCATTTTTTAGGGGATATGATATTTATGCCTCTGTAACTTTCTCACTCATCATTATTCACGATTCATTCAGGATTATCCGTAATCATGGTAGCATCCACATTAATGTAGAAGTGTTTAGAAACATATTCTATTCTTATTTACAATAGAAGTGACTCCAAATTGACACAATACATTATTCTATTAGGCACAAAATAATCTGAAACACAACCAAAACAAACAGCAAATGCATCCAACAAGTTTGTAGAGTCACAAGCTTGATGTAATCATTGCATTTTAGGAATATGGGACCAAATACTAACATTTTGACAACTTTAATTCACATAAGTGAATTTGTCCCAATACTTTAGGTCCCCAAAAATGGCGGGACTATGTGCAAAAAGTGCTGTAATTTCTAAACGGTTCAACAGACATGGATGAAAATACACTCAAGTTAATGCTGACAGTCTGCACATTAACCTCACAGTATTGTATCATTTCAAATCCAAAGTGCTGGAGCACAGAGCCAAAACAACAACAAATACATTTGGAGCTCACTGTATATACAGAGCCATATATTTTCTAAATACATTGCTATGGATATACAGTGGGCTCCAAAATTACTGGCACCCCTGACTGGCAATGCACAAACAATACTTAAAAAAATATAAACAATATAATTATAGAGAAACTCAAAATACCAACATGTGAGAAATACTGTACTATATTAATGTTCCAATGGAACCCACCAAAATCATTTATTGATTTAATTAAAAATCAATGTCCTCCAAATCAATGTTTTAAAATTAATGGCACCCTTAAAGATTATTGTAAATAACATCAAACCAAAATTAAACCACTACTTAAATTCCACTTATTTAAGTTGATCAAAGTCTGAAGGAACTACACTTCTCAAAAAAATAAAGGGAACACTTAAACAACACAATGTAACTCCAAGTCAATCACACTTCTGTGAAATCAAACTGTCCACTTAGGAAGCAACACTGATTGACAATACATTTCACATGCTGTTGTGCAAATGGAATAGACAACAGGTGGAAATTATAGGCAATTAGCAAGACACCCCCAATAAAGGACTGGTTTTGCAGGTGGTGACCACAGACCACTTCTCAGTTCCTATGCTTCCTGGCTGATGTTTTGGTCACTTTTGAATGCTGGCGGTGCTTTCACTCTAGTGGTAGCATGAGACGGAGTCTACAACCCACACAAGTGGCTCAGGTAGTGCAGCTCATCCAGGATGGCACATCAATGTGAGCTGTGGCAAGAAGGTTTGCTGTGTCTGTCAGCGTAGTGTCCAGAGCATGGAGGCGCTACCAGGAGACAGGCCAGTACATCAGGAGACGTGGAGGAGGCCGTAGGAGGGCAACAACCCAGCAGCAGGACTGCTACCTCCGCCTTTGTGCAAGGAGGAGCAGGAGGAGCACTGCCAGAGCCCTGCAAAATGACCTCCAGCAGGCCACAAATATGCATGTGTCTGCTCAAATGGTCAGAAACAGACTCCATGAGGGTGGTATGAGGGCCCGACGTCCACAGGTGGGGGTTGTGCTTACAGCCCAACACCGTGCAGGATGTTTGGCATTTGCCAGAGAACACCAAGATTGGCAAATTCGCCACTGGCGCCCTGTGCTCTTCACAGATGAAAGCAGGTTCACACTGAGCACATGTGACAGACTTGACAGAGTCTGGAGACGCCGTGGAGAACGTTCTGCTGCCTGCAACATCCTCCAGCATGACCGGTTTGGCGGTGGGTCAGTCATGGTGTGGGGTGCCATGTGCTCGCCAGAGGTAGCCTGACTGCCATTAGGTACCGAGATGAGATCCTCAGACCCCTTGTGAGACCATATGCTGGTGCGGTTGGCCCTGGGTTCCTCCTAATGCAAGACAATGCTAGACCTCATGTGGCTGGAGTGTGTCAGCAGTTCCTGCAAGAGGAAGGCATTGATGCTATGGACTGGCCCGCCCTTTCCCCAGACCTGAATCCAATTGAGCACATCTGGGACATCATGTCTCGCTCCATCCACCAACGCCACGTTGCACCACAGACTGTCCAGGAGTTGGCGGATGCTTTAGTCCAGGTCTGGGAGGAGATCCCTCAGGAGACCATCCGCCACCTCATCAGGAGCATGCCCAGGCGTTGTAGGGCACGTGGAGGCCACACACACTACTGAGCCTCATTTTGACTTGTTTTAAGGACATTACATCAAAGTTGGATCAGCCTGTAGTGTGGTTTTCCACTTTAATTTTGAGGGTGACTCCAAATCCAGACCTCCATGGGTTGATAAATTTGATTTCCATTGATAATTTTTGTGTGATTTTGTTATCAGCACATTCAACTATGTAAAGAAAAAAGTATTTAATAAGATTATTTCATTCATTCAGATCTAGGATGTTTTATTTTAGTGTTCCCTTAATTTTTTGAGCAGTTTATATTGAGCCATTACATCACTTCCTGTTTCACTAGGGTATAAAAATGAGGTAACACGCATGCAATATCCCTTTGTCATCCAACACCATGAAGAAAACAAAAGAACTGCCAGTTCAAAAGAGACAGATGTTTGTAGACCTTCATAAATCTGGTAATGGCTACAAGAAGATCCACAAACGATTGAATATACCACTGAGCACTGTCAGGGCAATTATTAAAAAATGTAAAAGATATGGAACAGTTGAAAACCTCACGGGTAGAGGATGCAGGATAGGGAGGAGGATTGGCGAGAGAAGCAACAAAATCCCCAAGAATCACTGTGAAAGAATTGCAGGCCTTGGTGGTGTCTTGGGGTCACCAGGTTTCAAAAAGCACCATCAGACGTCACCTCCACAACCACAGGCTCTTTGGAACGGTTTCCAGAAGAAAGCCCTTTCTGACCCCAAGACACAGACGCAAGCGCTTGGAGTTTGCCAAATGTCATTTAAATTATGACTGGAAGAAGGTGAGACCAACATTGAACGTTTTGGTCAGATACAGCATCGGCATGTTTGGCGTCGAAACAGAGATGCATACAAGGAGAGGCACCTCATACCCACAGTGAAATATGGTGGTGGATCAGTGATGTTTTGGGGCTGTTTTAATTCCAGAGGTCCAGGGAACTGGATAAGATTGACGGCATAATGAATTCCACCAAGTATCAGGCAATTTTGGCTGACAATCTGGTTGCCTCTGCCAGAAGGCTGGGACTTGGCCGTAGGTGGACTTTCCAACAAGACAATGACCCAAAACATACCTGAAGATCCACACAGAAATGGTTCTGTGACAACAAAATCAATGTTCTGCCATGGCCATCACAGTCGCCTCAATCCAATCGAAAATCTGTGGGCTGAGTTGTTGAGGGCAGTTGATAAGCGCAAACCCAAGAATGTGAAGGATCTTGAAAGGATCTGCATAGAGGAATGGTCCAAAATCCCTCCAAATGTGTTCCTTAACCTTGTCAAACGTTACAGGAAAAGACTCCATGCTGTTATCCTTGCCAGAGGTGGTTGCACTAAGTACTAAATGAGGAGTGCCAATAATGATGAAACCTTGATTTTGGTTACATTTATTTTGCATTAAATAATTGTATGATTTTGGTTGGTTCCATTGAAACATTAATAAAGTACAGTATTTCTCACATGTTGTTATTTTGAGTTTCTCTATAATTATATTGTTTATATTTTTTAAAGTATGGTTTGTGCATTGCCAGTCAGGGTTGGCAGGAATTTTGGAGCCCACTGTATATAGTGCATGTTTGCAGACACAGGTGCATTGTTTTGGTAATTTTTGTTTCCTCAGGTGTGTGATACTGTTTTGCAGATGAAGTTTGTAACATAATACTAACCAGAACCACACATTTCACTATGATGATAACAATAACACTTACCCTTTCTCCTTGCCAGAAATGAATTGCAGGACTTTGTAACCAAAGAAATCTTGTTCCTCCCTTTTGTAGATTTGTGGGTTTGTTTCATCAATGTTGAAAGCCATTGAAGAGACAGCTGGCAAAGAAAAGAAAAGAGTGGTAGAATCGGATGACAGACAACTATTTGGGTTAGATGCATAAAAATGATATTGGTAAATATTTGTTGTCTAGTGGGCCTAATCCACGATGTACAATAGAATACATAATTGAATCAGCATTTCACACAAATCTTAGATATCCGATCTTCCCTACAACACGGGAAATTGGCATAATTTAATATTTCATATTTTAGATCATGGTCAGTGAAAACCAGTGCCGGCTCTATGGGGGCATTGTGGGGGCAATGCCTCCCTGAATTTACTTTTGTGCCCACCCAAAAAACATTCTACCAATATTGATATAAATATTACTACACCAGAGCTACATGCTCTAGCCAGTCAAACTTCCCACCAGTTCATTGCCAACCCTCTAGTCTATTTTATATTCAGCAAGCAAGAGCAAGCTGCTTCTCCCTATTAGTTAAAAAAATTGCTCAAAATAAGTGACCAAACTATATTGCTATTCCTGGGACTTGCATTGAGCTAGGCTACTCGTACAAGAGATATTAGCAATCGAGAGAGGAGAGGGGAAGAGAGAGAGAGAGGCCAGTGGAGCTGATGCCTGCAGAGATGCATGAATTGTGCAAGACGGGAACAGTGAAGACAGAGATGTATTAGAAATGAGGGTAATTCATATATTAATCTATCATTCGTAGGTCTATGCTGCCATACCACCTGACCTGTGCTATGCAAGACCAGGGCAAAGTATATCCACCAGAGACAGATTTAAATATCATATAGGCCTTCATAATATAGGCCTGCTATCGCATAGCTGTCTCTCTCCCCCTTCAAACTTTCCTTGTCAATTCATTTGGTAGGCTACATTGTTTTAGCATTATCCAAGGCCTAGGTTTTTAATAGCCAACGTTTTTAGGAAAGGAGAAATGTGATTTGCTCTTGTGTGTTTGAAATGCGCTGTTGGCTTTAAATGGTGGGTCCTTTTGATGAGTGGAAGATTCATTGCATATATTATATATATAGCCTAACTATAAATATAGCATCAAAAAGAGTGCCCCCCAGCTGATCATAGTCTGGCGCTGGCTCTGGTGAAAACAACTAAATGTTCAGTCTGCATAAACGTATTTTGAGGAATCATAATTTTAACATGTTTGACTGAACATAGGTGTGCTATAGGCTACTGTTGTTCAGCCAGAACTGCCTTCAAAAGTTAATGCAGCTGTAACATTGTAAATAACTTATTTATGACCTTTTCCACTATGAAAAATGTGTGATAAATGGCCAATAGTTAATGCTTATCATTGACTGTCTCAAAAACATTAATAGACAATAAGGTTGTATCTAGGTTTAAAAGGTTAAGTGGCCTATTGCCTCAAAAACAAAAAAGTGGAAGTCGGTTACCGTTATTGATGTGAAACCACAAGTAAAGATATTGTATGACTAGTTCTGTTTTCTAAAAGGCCCCCAAAAAATTACAATGGAGCATCTAACAAGTCAATTACATTTAGAGCATTAGATTTGTATTTTTATTGGGATTCCCACTAACCGACGGCAATGGCAACATTAGGCACCTTTCTTTGACATAAATGATCCTTGTGCAAGTTAAGCATCCATTTTGAAAACATACCCTCTTCTACTTCAAGTTTGCCTATTGATTACAATGGTGTGAACAGTTCAACATATTTGAGTATTTTAGATTCAGTCAGGAATAGCAACAACAAAAAAACTAAACTGTAACTTAAAACGTGTAGTATTGAAAGTAATTGACTTTTTTTTTCTAGTTGAGCTGATTATGTTTTTTCCAACGCCTTTAATATGTAATTGAATATTAAGCTGATGTCAGCGCTTACCAATGGCTGCCATGCAGGTGAGCAGGGAGAGGGTTCCCTGCCCAGACATCTTCTCCTTCTCTTTGTTCACTAGCATGCAGTGAGGGAAAATATTGCAACACTCAACCTTTGCAAAGGAAACGTACTTGTCTTCCTGCACTTTGTTTCCTGTGTGCCTCTTCTTATAAGAGGGCGTCTCCACCCCCAAAAGTAGCTGCGGTAGTTCACTATCATCTGGGTGAGAATGTGGATGTTTTTTGCAATTTCCTCTTTTGCATGATTGGAATTGGTACATTGCCCCACCCTCTTCTTTTACACTTTCCCAGTGAGAAGTATCAAATGTGAGAAACCCGGCAAGAAAAGAGTTACACACTACATACTACACCCAATCTATAACAATGTCTTATTTGAGTCAGAACAGGTGTCTGGAAGTGGTGTTTTGAATGAGGCAACAACAAACATGTGAGAAAGCTTATTTGGCTATTCAGTTGAGTTTAATTTTATTTCACATATGACTATAGTTTAGTTGTATTGATTGTGTTTGAAATCACATAAGCCTAGTAGCAGCTCAAGAAAGGAACTTTGTCTAACCTCAGATACTTCTGGAGACCAGTTCGATTGAGATTCTCCTTGCTTCAGTGTTACATAATCATTTTAACCCAATTTTGTCCCAATTGCCACATTGAACACATTGACATTTGCTCTAATAAGATAAGTAGAATGTGGCAGCTCAGCACACAAATAGTCTGTGGGAGGAAGGGTGTAGGTACTTTCTTTTAACCACAATGCTCTATGGCTATGCAGTGACATCAGTTTGACACTTGTGTGTACAGTGTGAAATGTTACTGAGTTTCAACACCCTCATGTTTGCTGTTTGTAATTGTAATTGTATTTGATTTTTGTATCTTTGTAATTACAGACCTCATTTGCAAAAGAGACATTTGGTCACAATATGACTCCCTGTCAAAATAAGGTTAAATATAAAATATAAGAAATCTTACATTAGTGTTGGGAACCCCCTGTGTTTGGACTGTCAGTGCACAATTTATTGCAGTGTGTTGCAGAGGGCAAAGTTCAGAGGATGTCCTCTGGGGATTGCAACATTTCTGTTCTGTTTTGAACTATCTACACACCATCTAGAAGTTTTTGTTTGTGTTGTCTCTTTCTTCCCGCCTCCTCTTCTACCCTATCCCAGGTCTTTTGTTGCTTTTATGTGTTGGTTTTCCTTATATTTACTTATTGTAGCGTCTTTGGGTTTTATAAAAGCACTATAGAATCCTATTTATTAAACAAAAAGCCTAATTTCTGCAAATTATTAATGGCAGAACTGTCGTTTTATTTAGGCCTACATCCTTGCCACTGGTTTAAAACCCTCTAGAGCAGGACTGCCCAACCCTCTTCCTGGAGATCTACCGTCCTGTGGGTTTTCAGTCCAACCCTAATTTAACACACCTGATTCTACTTATTAGCTGCTCGACAAGACGTTAACTAGCTGAATCAGATATGCTACATTAGGGTTGGACTGAAACCTACAGGACAGTAGATCTCCAGGAAGAGGGTTGGGCAGCACTGCTCTAGAGGCTATTGACGCTCCGATGCGTCAATGTAAGTAACATAATACAAAGATCCACATAAAAATCAGTCAGTTTAAGCTAGAGAGATCAGTTTTTTTTTGCATGGGCTGTGTCTCAATCTACCGCATCCACCAATGGCGGCCTTCTGCATCTATGGTGGAAGGTGGCCGAGCTACAGCGTTTTTTTGTCAGACCATGAGACGTCCCGAAAATTGGTCTTCTCACGAAAACCACTGTAGCATCCGAACGGTTTGGTTAGTATGACCACTCCATGGAAAGATGAGACTCTCTATGACCCCCACAAGTGTCAGGGGACTCATCTGAAGGTACCAGTTTAAAATATGAATGGAAGTATGAAGATAGTTTTGTGCCTACCCAAAAAAAGGGTTAAAATGTGTACAATATATATACAGTGGGGGAAAAAAGTATTTAGTCAGCCACCAATTGTGCAAGTCCTCCCACTTAAAAAGATGAGAGAGGCCTGTAATGTTCATCATAGGTACACGTGAACTATGACAGACAAAATGAGATTTTTTTTCTCCAGAAAATCACATTGTAGGGTTTTTAATGAATTTATTTGCAAATTATGGTGGAAAATAAGTATTTGGTCACCTACAAACAAGCAAGATTTCTGGCTCTCACAGACCAGTAACTTCTTCTTTAAGAGGCTCCTCTGTCCTCCACTCGTTACCTGTATTAATGGCACCTGTTTGAACTTGTTATCAGTATAAAAGACACCTGTCCACAACCTCAAACAGTCACACTCCAAACTCCACTATGGCCAAGACCAAAGAGCTGTCAAAGGACACCAGAAACAAAATTGTAGACCTGCACCAGGCTGGGAAGACTGAATCTGCAATAGGTAAGCAGCTTGGTTTGAAGAAATCAACTGTGGGAGCAATTATTAGGAAATGGAAGACATACAAGACCACTGGTAATCTCCCTCGATCTGGGGCTCCACGCAAGATCTCACCCCGTGGGGTCAAAATGATCACAAGAACGGTGAGCAAAAATCCCAGAACCACACGGGGTGAGACCTAGTGAATGACCTGCAGAGAGCTGGGACCAAAGTAACAAAGCCTACCATCAGTAACACACTACGCCGCCAGGGACTCAAATCCTGCAGTGTCCCCCTGCTTAAGCCAGTACATGTCCAGGCCCGTCTGAAGTTTGCTAGAGTGCATTTGGATGATCCAGAAGAGGATTGGGAGAATGTCATATGGTCAGATGAAACCAAAATAGAACTTTTTGGTAAAAACTCAACTCGTCGTGTTTGGAGGACAAAGAATGCTGAGTTGCATCCAAAGAACACCATACCTACTGTGAAGCATGGGGGTGGAAACATCATGCTTTGGGGCTGTTTTTCTGCAAAGGGACCAGGACGACTGATCCGTGTAAAGGAAAGAATGAATGGGGCCATGTATCGTGAGATTTTGAGTGAAAACCTCCTTCCATCAGCAAGGGCATTGAAGATGAAACGTGGCTGGGTCTTTCAGCATGACAATGATCCCAAACACACCGCCCGAGCAACGAAGGAGTGGCTTCATAAGAAGCATTTCAAGGTCCTGGAGTGGCCTAGCCAGTCTCCAGATCTCAACCCCATAGAAAATCTTTGGAGGGAGTTGAAAGTCCTTGTTGCCCAGCGACAGCCCCAAAACATCACTGCTCTAGAGGAGATCTGCATGGAGGAATGGGCCAAAATACCAGCAACAGTGTGTGAAAACCTTGTGAAGACTTACAGAAAACGTTTGACCTGTGTCATTGCCAACAAAGGGTATATAACAAAGTATTGAGAAACTTTTGTTATTGACCAAATACTTATTTTCCACCATAATATGCAAATAAATTCATTAAAAATCCTACAATGGGATTTTTTCCTCATTTTGTCTGTCATAGTTGACGTGTACCTATGATGAAAATTACAGGCCTCTCTCATCTTTTTAAGTGGGAGAACTTGCACAATTGGTGGCTGACTAAATACTTTTTTCCCCCACTGTAGCTATGGTCAAAAGTAGTGCACTATATAGGGAATAGGGTACTATTTGGGATGCATCCCTATTCTATTCTGCTGTAGTCTTGGAAACTATTGACTTGTAAGACCAACATATCCCTACATGGAAACATTGGCATAGTGAAGTTTACTCCAAGAATATATATTTTCTAAAAAATAAACTAATTTTTTTTAAAACCAGTAAATTATGAAACATCAAATATACCCCCCACACTTATCCCCTCAGGAGGCGAGGGACAATGCTAGATAGAGGTTTGTTCACATTAAAAGACAAAACCACAAAAAACTAACAAATTCTACACTGTCTCACCCACTTACAAAATACTCACCTTGGTCTGTGTGGACCCCATTTGGCTAAATCCTTTAAAGAAAACTCTAAGATGACTGAAGCATTCTCCTGATGGCTCAAAACTGACCATTTCAACAGACTAGGCATGAGAACACATTCTAATCAGGTAGCAGTGTGCACTGTGGTTTCCCTTATCAGACTCTGCAGATAGGACAGCTAGCTCCTACTTTGATATTCCCCATAACTGGTATAGAAGTTCACAAGTTGACCCAGGGGAGTGGAGGGTCTACTCTCAAGTATTCTTTATCATTACCTTGTGTTTGCAGCCACAGGGAAGGGACATTTATTTAATAAAAAATAAGAGCTATTTGAACTATAAACTGAAACAGCTATGAGAAAGTTGTTTATTCAACAAGCTCTCACGGTCTCACTTCAGTATTCAATGTTTGTCCAGGGGGAGGATAAACGTCTATGGGTGAAGTAAAAGTAGGTAAGGATGAAGGTTGTTAAAGAAGAAAAAACTTGACGCTTAAGTTTAAGCATTAATTCCGACTGGTTAAGGTAAGGGTTAAGGTTTGGGAGAAGGTTAAAACCGAGAAAAAAAATAGAACGAGTGCCTTGCACTGGGCTTGAACCCTCGATCCTCAGAGCCGAGGCGCGCGGTTTATGCCCTTTCTCTATCCCCATCCACAACGGCCAAGCTGTGAGCCTACTGGATGGTAATATGTGCACACGTTGCGCCTAGTGGACGGTATTGAAGGCATCTCTGGATGTCCTATGGACCTGGACAAACGTTGAATACTGAAGTCTATCTGGTGTGATCTCGCTGGTTTATTAAAGCAATGTGAGTGTCTTCAGTACAGTAGTGCATCCTGTTTATACAGGACGTGATAAGTACTAACCCCAGTGTCCCTCTATTTTAGGGCATGGTACGGTAGGAATTTGGCCTGCGTCCCAAATGGTACCCTATTCTCTATATAGTGCACTACTTTTGAACAGAGCTCTATTGCCATTTGGGACGCAGATGTGTAGGAAGGATGCTGTTATAAAAGAGGAGCTGTGATCTTGCAGACTGTGTTGGGATAGATCACACCAAAGGTTAAGGAGGTTGCCCCAGGAGACAGGGAGTGGGAGTTACCCGGGCTCTGAATGGAATGTGTGATGGAAAAGGGTCAATAGACTGTTGCTTCACTTCAATGACAAGTGATGTCACCATATGAGACACTTCTCAATCAGGCCAGATGGTTCACAATTTTTTATATTTACAACAACATT